CCCCTTAAAAAATTTTTCCGTTTCTTTTTTTTTTTTTTTTTTTTTTTTAAGCCTAGAGCTCCCTCCTCAGTGCTGTGTTACCTGCTGTCCTCCAGGGGGCGCAGCATCTAGTAAAAACCTTTTCGCTCCAGGAACAGGCAGTGATCTGTTCTCTTAATAAGGTTCAGCTAGAACTTCAGAGGAATGAGGTAACCTGATATTACGTAGTATGGAGGAGATATTAAATAATAACTCAGGATCATCAGTTCCAAGGCATGTCCTAGTTGTGTGGAGATCGCAATCCCATGTTTTGTTGGGTCCTCAGAAAGGTCTTGGCGCATTTTCGCATAGAAAAATATAGAGGGGCTGGCCAGTCCCACATGGCCGACTGGTTCAAGTCCTGATCCTGGCAGTTTGCCTTCTTACTCCCTCCCTCTCCCTCTCTCTGGTCAAATGAAACATTTTCTCAAACTGTTTAACTTTAACTCCAGGAACTTCTGCAACTGACCCTCCTACAAACTTAGGCTTGCCCAGCACAAAGGGCCAGGACACTCCCAAGTCTGAGAACGGCAGCCAGGCAGCCAAGAAGGCCAAGAGGGCTGCAGAGTCAAAGCGGCAGTCCCAGGAACGGCAGCATCCCCAGAAAGCTGCCTCCCAGAAACTGAACGGCGTCTCCCAAGGGCCTGACCCAGCAGTGTGCCCTACACCTTCCATCAGGAAGGCCCGAACTCCCTCCGAGTTCCGGGATGGCAGCCAGCCACCCATAAAAGCTGGAGTGATCAGAACGCCTGACGTGGCTGGGAGACCAAAGCAGCAGGCCCCTAAGTTACAGCCCGCCAAGAAAGCTGCCTTCCTGAAGCAGAGCGCCCCTGCCCAGGGCTCAGACACACCAACACCTGCTGCGCCGTCCCGGTCCAAGACCCAGGCCACCTCTCTGCCTAAGGACTCTGTCCAGCCCCTTGGGAAGACCAAAGGGGCTGAGAAGGTAAAGCAGCGGTCCCTAAGGAAGCCTTTCAAGAAAGCTGCCTTCCAGAAACAGAATGGCACCCCCAAGGGACCTCAGGTTCCCACTGTGTCTCCCCTCCGTCCCAGCCGGCCTCCCCCAGCGAAGAAGAGGAAATCTCAGCTCAGGGCTGACAGCCAGCGGCCGCCGTCCTAAAAGGCTGGCTGGAAACAGGACTGGGGCGGCCCAGCCCTCCTCATGGGGTATACCTTTGTGAGATGGCTTCCCTTCCCCTCTTGAATTTTAATACACCTTTTACAACCACTGGTCACTGTGTGTTCTTTGAGGGGACTGGATACTGACTGCGCTGTTCCGAGAGTAGAGGTGGGAATGTGGGACTGGGCACAGAAGAGGGGACAGTTGGGTACTACTAAAAAGTCGGGTGGGTCCAGGCTCCTGCCACCTGGGTCTGCCCAGCAAGGAGCCAGGGAGTCAGAGCTAGGGTGTTTGGCCGCTGCAGGGAGGAGGGTGCCAGGGGTGTAGGGAGGTGGTCTTGCCAGTGGAGGTCGGGGGTCCTGCGGCTTATGCCACCTGGCCTCGGAGGGGAGGGCTGGCCACGGCTCCTGGGCCGCTCGCGGCCTCGGACCCGGACCCGGAAAGGTCCAGGCCAGGCGTCCGGCTGGGGCTTGCCATTGGTTCCTCCCGGCCGCCCCGCCCCCCGACCTCTGCCCCTCGGAAAAGCCGTCTGATTGGCCGTCCGTGTCCCGCAGGCGCCTCATTGGCTTCTCTCACTCGCTCTCCATCCCTGCTCCTGCACCGGGCTCCATCTCCCAGCAGAAGGCGCAGCCATGAATCCGTTATTCGGCCCCAATCTCTTCCTCCTACAGCAGGAGCAGCAGGGCCTGGCTGGGCCGCTGGGGGACCCCCTGGGAGCCGACCACTATCCCGGGGGCGGGGACTTGCCTCCGGCGCCGCTCACCCCGGCCGGCCCCGCTGCCTACTCGCCGCCTGGGCCGGGGCCGGCGCCCCCTGCCGCCATGGCGCTCCGCAACGACCTGGGCTCCAACATCAACGTGCTCAAGACTCTGAACCTCCGGTTCCGCTGCTTCCTGGCCAAGGTGCACGAGCTGGAGCGCCGGAACCGGCTGCTGGAGAAGCAGCTGCAGCAGGCGCTGGAGGAGGGTAAGCAGGGCCGGCGGGGCCTGGCTCGCCGGGACCAGGCGGTGCAGACCGGCCGCCCCCTCCCCCGCCTACTCCTCGTCGGCCCGCTTCATGCCTGGCACCATCTGGTCCTTCTCGCACAATCGCCGGCTCGGGCCGGGACTGGAGCCCACTCTGGTGCAAGGGCCTGGCCTGTCGTGGGTGCACCCGGACGGGGTGGGCGTCCAGATCGACACCATCACCCCCGAGATCCGTGCGCTCTACAACGTGCTAGCCAAAGTGAAGCGGGAGCGGGACGAGTACAAGCGGAGGTAGGGACCGGCAAGGTGGGGACAGGGTCTGGAATTGGGGGATTCCGGAGCAGAAGGCCCAAGAGTCGGGCGGATGCGGCACAGTGAATGAAGCTTGTGCTGTGTAATTGGAGCGCTTGGAAGGAATGGGGAAGGCCAGACCAGAATCCACAGAGAATACAGAAGTGGGACTTGGGACCAGGAAGGAGGGCTCTGCCAGCGGAACACTGAAGGACATTCATACTTTATTTCTGGCTTGGTGCTGTCTCATCTAGGCCGCAGGGTGACGGTAACTGGGGGTTTGTGAGGTGTGAGGGGCTGAGGGTCCCCTTGCCCTGCTGCCCCAGCACTCAGGGCAACCTTAGGTTAAGCTCCACACACTGGTCAGAAGCAGGAGGCAAAGCACACGGCTTTACTGTGAGAGGCCATGTTCAGTGACATCGGAAGTGGTGCGAGGGAACTGCACCCTGCAGTGGGTAACCCTGGCACTGCCCGGGGTCTCAGTGGAGGGCCAATGGACGTTTCCATGGGGAAGACTCTGGGGACCTGGGGCAAGGCTTGGAGTAAGTCATAAGACTAGGAAAAGAGTACTGGGATTCCCTAGGGCCAGGGGAAGGGGCTGGTAGTCGTCCTAAGGTTGAGGGTGTGCTGGGTCTGGGTGCAGAAGAGCCAAAGACTGGGGGAGCCGGCCAGAGGCGCCAGGAGGGAAGAGCTGGGAACATGGACACACCCTGTGACTGCAGGCCGGTTCAGGGCGGGCCGGGCACTCTGAGCAGGAAGACTGAGGCACCCAGCCACAGGGCCAGCTGTAGGGCCGAGCTGGGGGCCGGGTTAGGGATGTGATGTCACCGCTGGCTCTGGCCCAGCGGATTCCTGGGACAGGTGACAGCCGGCCCTGCAGGAGCAGCTGCAGAGCAGTGCTTTGCGGACTGCGGCCCGGCCCTGGCTGAGGAGGGAGTGGGCAGGCTCCGGTCTGCTGCCCTCCTCTCCTGTCTTATCTCAGCCGCTGTGACCCCTGGTGGGCCGGCCTGGGAACCACCTTGCCAGCCCAGTGAGCAGGGGTTCGTGTCTGGCCTGGCAGTGGGCGAGGGCTGGCCAAACGCTCTTGAGAAATGACCACTGGGTCTGGGAGTGACCTTCAGGGACCTGAAACCGAGTCAGAGCAGCTTGCCTTCCTCGTGCTGGATCCCTTAGTTGTGGCCCGTGTCATAAGTGTCCTTGGGAATCTGAATTCTCCCCAGACCATCACTCACGTGCCACCAGAACCAGCCCGCGCCTGCCCCGGCCCTGCGGCCCTCAGCTACCAGTCAGCAGTGGGACGTGGACAGCTCTGGGGACATCCTAGCCACAGGGACAACTGCTGTTCTCGGGGTTATTTATTATTATTCTCTTTAATGAAAGAGTGCTTGTCCTTCGCCCAGCTGTCCGGGGCCGCGGAGAGCTGCTCCCTAGGGGTTGACTAGCTTACTGCCCTGCAGCGGAGGGCCCCGTGGCCAGAATTGAACGGGGCGTGACATTGGTGGTGGCTCACTCTTCCACCCAGAGCCCCTCCCCGGTGCTGGCTGCTGCAGCAGCTGTACCGGCCTGAGAGGCCTGGGCACAGCCGAGCACCGAGCTGGGAAGGCCTCCTGGCCTCGGTTTCAGCTCCCTTGCCTCCTGGGACCTTGCTCCTGGGCCGCAGTTTTCCCAGTGTAGGAGCAGCCCCTGCTTTCTCTCTTCAGCTCAGGGATACAGTGTATTTGGGAGAGAGGGGTTTGGCAAATGCAGAATACACAGAAATTGCTCAGTTCTGCCCAGGTTCAGGGCACCTCGTGAGGCCAGATTTGAATAGAGGTCAAAAGGAACATGTTTGTGCAAAGGTCCAGCCGGGAAGCAAATAGAGTTCTAGCGAGCTTGCAGAGGATCCGCTGTTCAGATTTATTTGCCCTGTAATAGCTCATTCATTTTCATCTTTAACCAACTGTCTCACTTAAGTTTCCATCCAGATTTGTTGGGCTCACTGTCACGTAGTACTGTCTGCTCTCCCTGATGCACCCGGTCCAGGGGATTGTCCCTACGTGGGGACGGGGCTTTCTGCAGGGGCACGGGGGCCCCACACCCTCAGCCTTCGTGCTGTAGATGAGAAACCAAGGCCTAGAAGGGCCACGGGCTTATCTAAGAGCATCTTAGCCGGATGCTACTAGGGCCCTTCATGGCCGACTGTCTGAGTGAGAATGCCCGAGCCAAAGCGGGAAGGACAGTGGGGGCGGTGGGGGGCATGGAGCAAGGAGGGCCAGGAGCCGGCTGGGGTGTGTGGGGAGCCACTGTGGGGTGGCTGGGCTGGCTGCTTCCTCCAGCCACCCTGCCTGCCAGCGGGAGGGGCGCCGAGGTGATGCGGAGAGTTATTCTTAGGAATACTGCAGTGCGGCTGAGGCTGAGGCTGAGCGAGCAAGTGGGGGGGCACGGAGAGCCAGGACAGGGAGAGGGAGCGGGCCAGGCCGAGGAGGTGGCGGGGCGGGGAAGGAAGGGCGTGGCCTAGCTACAGAGCTCCTCCAGGATTTTGGTTTTGGTTTTCTTGCTGTCTCCTCTGCACCTTCCTGGCCACCTTCCTTAGAGTGCAGAACCTCCTCCTCAGCCTGGAGAACCCTTTCTGGAAGCGATGGCGCGTCTGAGTAGGGCCTGAGACGTGCTCCCCCACTAAACCCCGTGGGTGGGGAGAGTACAGGCCCCGAGCCTCCCTGGCGCTGTCTGCCATGGTGCTGAGAGGCGCTGGCCTCCCCAGCCTGGGAGAGACGCCCACCCACCCACTGAAGCCAGAAGGGTCTCTGTGTTCTGCATCCCAGGCTGCCACCTGGTGACCAGGGGTTAGGGACACTTGGTAATCTCAGGCCCCCACTGGCCACTATGTTAATGCTGTGGGGATGTGTGACCACCAGGCCAGGCCTGTCACCTCTGGGGCTCTGGGTGGGCAGCTTCTGGAGCTCTGGGGGAAGGACTTGAGTGGCCTCCCCCGGCTCCTGACCAACCCCGCCGATGCGGTGTGTGTCCCGCAGATGCCTTTACAGGGTTAAGTGTACCGCAGGAGGCAGGGCAGCGGGTAGACGTGCGGGCAGGAGGCGGGAGACAGGACCGCGTCTGTGCGACTGAAGGTGGGAGACTGGGCAGGGTGGGCCTGGCGGTCTGGCGTGGGCAGGAGGAGGGTGATGAGGCCAGCCAGACAGCTGGTGGAGCTGGGGCCCAAGGGGGACAGGCCTCGCAGAGCGCCAGGGCAGCAGCGTTGCTCTTAAATATAGTTCTTGGTGCGGGCCGGAGGCTCCGGAAGGCCGCAGGGGAGCTTGGCACTTGCCAGGAAGCTGGGACCGCCCGACAGCTGCAGCTGCCTGGCGTGCAGACAGGCCTGTCCCCGGCTCCTCCCCACTTTGGGACCTGGGCCTAGGCCTTGGGGCCTGAGCCAGAGAGGTGGCCGCAGGGAGCTGCGGGGCGGGAAGGGCTCTGCACCCACACGCCTGTGCTCTCACCCACGCCGCCAGGTGGGAAGAGGAGTACACGGTGCGGACACAGCTGCAGGAGCGTGTGAGCGAGCTCCAGGAGGTGAGGGCCGCCCCGCTGCCCGAGCTGCCCTCGGCGTCCCCCAGCTGCCCGCGGCCCAGTGCCATCGCACTGCCACCTCCCCCCCCCCCCCGCCGCCACTTTGGCGAGGCCCCACACCGCCCCCCCCCGTCCCACGTTGGCAGTGTCACCACCGCTGATGCTGGGTCTGCTCCTGCAGGAAGCCCAGGAGGCCGATGCCTGCCAGGAGGAGCTCGCCATGAAGGTGGAGCAACTGAAAGCGGAGCTGGTGGTCTTCAAAGGGCTCATGAGTAACGTGAGTGCCGCTCGCCCCTCCCCGGGTGGCCCCTGGAGCTGTCAAGCAGGGCACAGGTGGCTGGCCCAGCCGCACCCCCACCCCCAGCCACACTCTCTGTCCAGCTCTTCTCCCCTTCCTGTCTCCTGATTCGAGAGAAAGAGAAGCAGCAGAAGGCCCGGGGCCGGTCACAGAACGCTGTAGGCCCCCACTGCCCGGGGTGGTCAGGCCATTCGAGCCCAGCTCCGGGAGCCAGGCTGCCTGGGCCTAGACCCGCCTCTGCGGCAGCTGCACTTTGCCCTCTCAGAATCCCATGGCCCCCTCTGCCTGGGAACCTACGTTCCAGGAGGGCAGGACTGACCAGGGAGGCCCTGCATGCCCCGGCCCCAGGCCGCCCCTGGGTTCCCGTCCGGCCGGAGGCTCGAGCAGCCTTGCAAGTGGGCACGTACCGTGGGAGGCCACTGGGAGGAACAGTGCTGCTGCTCAGGGGGCCAGAGCCATCCTGGAGGAGGTGACGGTGACCTGTGATGGGGGACGTCACTGCGCCCCGCTCCCCGGCAGAACCTGTCAGAGCTGGACACCAAGATCCAGGAGAAGGCCATGAAGGTGGACATGGACATCTGCCGGCGCATCGACATCACGGCCAAGCTGTGCGACCTGGCCCAGCAGCGCAACTGCGAGGACGTCATCCAGATGTTCCAGGTGCGCCACGGCCCGGGCAGGCGCAGGGGCTGTCTCGCGGCCCGAACACGGCCAGCGGGCCTCCTCCCGGGTCCTCGGCGGGACTAAGCTGGGGGGCCAGGAGCACCTCCGAGAGGATTCTGGAAGCGTCTCTAACACCGTCTCCCTCCTCTGTCTCTCCCGTCTGTCCCTGCCCTCTCTCCTTTCACCTCTGCCGCGTCCACAGAAGAAGCTGGTTAGTTTGCTCTCACGCGAGCTCACTAATGCCCCGCCCCAGGTTCTGGGCGCCCAGGCCCGCGCCCCGTGGGAGCCGCTGGGCTCGCACAGACGCCCGTGCCCCGGCCCTCGCCCTCCTGTCTCTTCCACCTCATGCTCCTCCCCACTGCCTCTCCAGGCCCGGACGGCCCCGCCGCCCTCGCGCACACTGCCCTCACCCTCCAGCCTGCCCTTGCTCTTCAGTGACTCGTCAGAAAGGCTCCTAACAGATAGCGCTCCTGAGCCAGTACGCACATCTTAGTCGGCCCGCCGGCCACTTCCCGACCTCACTGCTCTGTTCTCTCTATCTCTCCTTTCTCTTCCTCTCGGTCTGCAGCCCCATCCCCGTCCGGCCCGTCTGTCTGTCCATCCGTCTCCTGGTGGCTGTCCTGTCTGTGTGCCGTCGTCGTAACTGTCTTCTCTCTCTGTCTGCCCCCTTGCTGGTCCCCGCTTCTCCCGCCCGCCCGGCCGCCCTCTCCTCATGCACCCGGCCTCGTCTCTGTAGTCTCTGCACTTGTCTCCCATTAAGGTCCCATCCATGGGGGGGCGGAAGCGGGAGCGCAAGGCCGCTGTCGAGGAGGACACCTCCCTGTCGGAGAGTGACGGGCCCCGCCAGCCCGAGGGGGATGAGGAGGAGAGCACGGCCCTCAGCATCAACGAGGAGATGCAGCGCATGCTCAGCCAGCTGTGAGTCCCAGCTGCCGCGCTGGCCCCGAGGCCGGACCCCGCAGCCCCGCCAGGAGCCGCCCTGACACCCGGGTTCCCTGTCTCTAGGAGGGAGTATGATTTTGAGGACGACTGTGACAGCCTGACTTGGGAGGAGACGGAGGAGACCCTGCTGCTGTGGGAGGATTTCTCAGGCTATGCCATGGCGGCGGCAGAGGCCCAGGGAGAGGTAACCGCCCCTCCGGCCGCCTCCACCCCCGCCTGGCCAGCTCCACGCCCATCTCCTCCGCCCGCCGCCTCGCTCCGATCTCCCCGTGTGCCGCCAGTTGACCTGCGTCTCCGTCTCTGTGTCCTCCGCCCTCGCTCCTCCGGCTTCCTTAACAAGGCTCTTTCTCTCCCACCTTGGCCCTCTGGATTCCCCTGGACCCCCTCCCTGCTCCCCCTTGCCCCGGCTCCCCCTGGCCCTCCAGCAGCAGGAGGACAGTTTGGAGAAGGTGATTAAAGATACCGAGTCCCTGTTCAAGACCCGGGAGAAGGAGTATCAGGAGACCATCGACCAGATAGAGGTAGGAGCGGGGCTGGAGGCCGAGGGATCAGGAGGGGTTGGCGGCACGGTGGGCTCCTCCCTGCGTGGGGAGCAGCGGCCTCGGCGTGGCTCCCCTGGGGTTCTGCAGACCCGTGCTCTGAGGCAGCACAGGCAGGTGCAGACCACAGCCGTCCCTCACTGCCACACTTAATAGGTTGTTCCCTCTGAGCCTGTTCCTTTGTTTGTAGTCAGGGGTCTTGAGCCGGCTCCTTGGCATGGTGGGTAAGGCAGCCAGATCCCACGTTCCCACGTGTGGTTCCAGTCCTGGACCAGTGACTTGAGAAACATGCTGGGCGTGTGTGTGTGTGTGTGTGTGCTGAAATTCCAGCAGGAAGGAGACGGAGGAGAAGGGGTTGCGACATGACCATCTCCCATGGGGGAGCTTGCCCTTGCTCTCTCTCTCTGGTGGGCACACGTCTCCTCTAGCAAAAAAGATGGAGTCCTAACAGCACCTTCCCGCGGGTTATTTGGAAGATCAGCCGGAACGGTGCACAGACGGCGCAGGCCGGGTCTGGCTGGGAGTCAGTGCACCTTGGCGGCCACGTCTCACCACCGGCTCTGCCAGTGCCGTGGCACCCGGATAGGCGGGGCTTTGTTTCTTTTTGCTTTTTTTGGAGAGGTTTTTGCTATAGGGTGCGTGCGTTCGCCAGACTGACCGAGGAAGAGAAAGCAAGAAATCACCCCCCGGGGGGGATGGCCATTCCGCAATTCCTTCTCTTCTGTTTTCCTCTCGGGATCTTGGGCACGCACGCACACACGCCCGGCGTGAGTTTAAGCCACCGGGTCCGGGCAAACCCCGGGTGATTAAGTGAAACTCCAGCGATGCAGCCGTTACGCTAACTGCTGGTCCCCTGGGCTTTGTTTCTTCAGCTCAGCTTTGAGGTAATGGAGGACTCTCCTTTTTTTTTTTTTTTTTTCCCAATCCTTGAGGAACCTTCTAGAGATGGCAAGTGGAGCTGTTGCTCTACCTTAACCGCGAGGTCTTTGGGGGCTGCAGGCAGGATGTGGAGCCGCAGCATGAGGCTGCAGCAGGGGAGGTTGTGCGTGACCCTCCTTGGCCACCCTGCCGTATGTGCGATGGCGCCATCCTGACCTGGGGACGAGGCCCGCAGGCCTCCGGGACTCTCAGCCTCTCCCCAGACCCGTGGAGCATCCCGTGCTCTCACCACCCTCACCGCCTGCGCTTTGCCAAGGAAGCCGAGAAGCCGTTCTCCCACTTACTCCTTCTCCCAGCATACACCCCGTAGTCCAGCTCCTGGGAACACCTGTGTGTTTGGGGCCAGCCAGTGGCTTGGAGGTTAAGGAAGCCGGATCCCACGTGGCTGGCTGCATGGTTTGAGTCCCAGGCCTGGCAGCTTGAAAAACATGCTCAGCACATGTGTATGCATGCCCAAACTCATGAGAGGAGAAGGAGTTGCGGCACGGCCATCTTCCCTGGCTGGCGGGGGTGCCTCTGTCTCTCTCATCTGGCTCCAGTGAGTATATGTGTCCTTTGCAGAAAACAGAACACCAACCCCGTGAGTCGTGTCCCAGGCAGGCAGATGCTGTCCCCGGGGCCCAGCCACGCTTACGCTCCTAGCACGTCCTGGGAGGGAGAGTGGCCCCCACGCCCCGAGCGTCTGCTTCCCACCTCCCTCCTTGCTTATCTGCCCCTTGCCTCCCGTGCTCGGATGGTGGATTTAAGGTTTGAGGTTTCCACTCTGCTGCTCCCAGTCAGGGCCGTCCGGGGCTGCTGTCAGCGCTCAGGCCCCCCCTGCAGCAGAAGTGCCTAGTGTCCAACGGGGCCCGATGAGGAAGACAGGAGCCTCCAGAGGGGGATGTCACACTGTCCCCAGCTCTCTGCCTCCTTTTCTCTCCCAGTAGAGTGACGTTAAGGTCACGGTGGGGCTGCCTCACAGTGACACGCCTGCTGGTCCCTCTGGAGCACCCAGGCACCTCTCGTTGTGACCTTTGACCCCCCAGGTCACTGGGGTGGAGATGCAGACCAGGGTCCACTGCTGGATGGGAAAGCTGAGGCCCGGCGTGGGCGGGCAGTGTCCCCCTTCCCTCCCATCTCCTCTGTCCCTGGCCGCTCCTCTCACCACGCTGTGGTCCTGAGTTCTCAAGGCAGGCTCGAGGTGCCTCCCGGCTCGCCTCGTGTCGTCTTCTTCCTCATCTCCGCTTGAAACGTGAATTAAGGGGACACAAAGATCGGCAGGGACTCCTGGTGGTAGTACTCGCCTTGTATTTTTTCTTTCTTTTTTTTTTAGAATTATTTATTATTCTTTTTACCTTGTTATAGTCATCAGAGAGACACAGAGAGAGAGGAGGACAGTGAGAAAACAAGTCACTGGGTCTGGGACTCGAACCGCAGCTGGTCATGTGGGAGTCCAGCGCCCCAGCCACCTTCCACCTGCGGGCCCCTTTTATTTTCAATAGTCCAGAGGGCACGTGTGCTTATCGGAGAAACAGAGAGGGAGGGAGGAAGCACCCTCCGGTGGGATGTGGGCACACCACAGTCCTCCGCGTCGCCATCCCGCCGGGGTGTAGGCACACATGGCCGCTGAGGCTGGAATTCAGGCTGCAGGTTGCCGGGCAAGCTGTAGCTGCCTTCACCGATAGGCCGAGGGCCAGCCTAGCCTCGGGATGTGAGAAAATGATTGGGCCCACTTCCTCCTTCCCTGCCTTCCCGAGTCGTGGTTCAGGGCCTCAGCCCCTGCCACTCCAGCTTCCCCGAGATGAAGCCGGGGCACAGCTGATCCGAGTGAGAGCTGAGCAGCTGCAGCTGCGTGGGAGCCAGCAGGACCCGGCTGCAGACGGCGCTGGCCGCCACACTCACCAGAGTGCGACTCCAGCCCCGCCTCACCCCGATGCCACTGTCCTGTCCATCTCGCGAGCCTGGCCCTGTGACCGGTCTCTTCCTCTGTCCAGCTGAGACCGGGCACGGTGGCTCCTCTGTGCGGTGCAGATCATGTGGGGGCTGCCTCTCTGGGCGAGGCAGCTGGCACAGCACCTCCGGGCAGCCCTCCTCTCCACCCTGCCCGCTCTGTGTCCAAATGACTGCCCGCACCATGGCGGCCTCTGGCCGGCCCGCCCGCTCCTCAGAACCTTCTGGCTCCCCACGGGCCCTGGGAGGGACACCCCACAGCCTTTTCACACACGCGGGTCAGGCTGCACCCGGTTGCCAGCAGGACGCTGGGTGCGGCCGTCTGAGCGAAGGCTCACGTGAACCTAATAACGAGCGCTGAGAACCGGGGCCTGTGAGCAGTGCGGCGGGCCCGGGTGCCCCGAGTCCGCTAGGTCATGGTGCCCGACGCGGTGCCGGGCCTGCAGCGCCGCTCGTGACTCAGGGAGGGAGACGGCAGGGGCGCAGGGCCGGGTGGGAGCCGGGGGGCCGGGCAGCGCGCACGCACCCTGCGGGGGACAGCCCTCTGCCCGTCGCTGTCTCGGCCTCAGAGGAGCACGCGCCTTTGCATCGCGCTCGGCAGTCCCAGGAGAAGCACGAGGTGGTGTGTTCTGTGCCTTCTGCCTTCGTCTGGCTTTTTTTTAATTTTTAAAGAGTTATTAATTTTGGGACTGGCAGGTGATGTGGTTCAGGTGCTGGACTCCCACATGGCTGACTACGGTTCAAGTCCAGGCCTGGCCCTTTGCTTTCTCACTTTTCCTCTCTCTCTCTCTCTCTGGTCAAATTAAAATAAACAAGTAAATAAAATTAAATAAACAATTGTTCACAAAAATTAAAAAAAAGAATTGTTTATTTAATTTTATTTGCTATTATTATTTATTTTTTAAGTTTGACCGGAGACAGAGAGAGAGAAAGGGAAAGCGAGAAACACCACACCAGCTGCCGGCCCCCATCTGACCTTATAAGTCTGAGCCTTCAGCCGGGGCTGCCAGGCCATTGTCCCGGTGGGGAGGGCAGCCCCGCCTGCTGGCGGCTCCGGGCCGTCACCCAGCGACGCGCGCTGGAGCTGGCCACCGCCAAGAACGACATGAACCGGCACCTGCACGAGTACATGGAGATGTGCAGCATGAAGCGCGGCCTGGATGTGCAGATGGAGACCTGCCGCCGCCTCATCACCCAGTCGGGGGACCGGTAAGGGCCTCCCCGCCTCCCACGGGCAGAGGAGCTCACGGTGGTCCTGATACAGCCGCCCTCTGGGAGTCGCCGGGCCACCAGGCCAGACTGATGGCTCTCTCCCCGTTGGCACTGGGGGACAGGCATGTCCACCTGCGGCTGCACAGCCACCAGCGCTGTGGTTCCCCTGGTTAGCAGTAGCTTTAAAACTGGCAAGGAACGGAAGGGGCGCGGGAGCAGATTTCCATCTAGGGCTGTGAGGCATGCACTTGACCCTGTGGAAGTTAAGGCCCAACAAAAACGTGCATTTTAAAAAAGTTGGGACCAGCAGATGGCATAATGGTTACATCGCTGGACCTGGACTTCCACCTAGCTGATCGCGGTTCGCGGCCCAGACCCAGCGGCTTAAACCTCTTGCTGGGCGTTCGTGCATGCCCAAGATCCCAAGAGGAGAATGGAGAAGGGATTGCGACATGGCCATCCCCTGGGGGTGATTTCTTACTTTCTGTCTCTCTGTCAAGCACATGTACCCTATAGTAAAAAATCTCTCAAAAAAAAAATCAGAAAACTGCTGCCATCAGGGGCAGCGCCGGGCTCAGGTGGCCCTCCCCAGCCGTGACCCCGGTGTTCTGATGGCCGAGCCTCTCAGGGCTCCCACGGGGCCGGGCGCCCCCCAC